CTTATATAAAATTGAATCAAAATATACTCATATTTCTTTTTGACCAAAAATACTACCAACAATAAAAAATAACAATGTTGGTATAATAAAAATCATATTTTGACTTACTGTTTAAAAGATATTATGTGTAGTCAACTTAGTTAACACAAAGCACAGTCTTCATCAAAATTCAAGAAATTCTTATCCTAAGAAAAGCGTATTTTTAAATTTAGGTCTGTTGGTATAATAAAAATCATATTTTGACTTACCGTTTAAAAGATATTATGTGTAGTTAACTTAGTTAACACAAAGCACAGTCTTCATAAAAATTATGTTTTATGGTAACACAGCGAACACGACGAAATAGTAAATAGGTAGGCACTAAATGACAAAATAATTAAAACGCGCAAATGGCAAATGATTACAAGCGACAGACCGCGTATGCTGGAGTGCAGTGGAATAAACGAATTTAACAATTGTAACAGCATGGTTTAACAATCAATTATCATAATAACAAGGAATTTGTTGGTTTTTGGCAAAACCAAGATAAAAATAGACTTCATACCGAAATAACGCTGGCATATAGTACGTTACCTACAGTAACAAGATCAGTATAATCGTTTCAAGAATTAATTGTTAATTTAAGAAACAGTGCATTGATCAGTTTTATTCGACTATTATCATTATAAATAATGTTACTATTAATCAAATTAATATCGTTGTTCTTTTGAATAATTTAGATATTGTCTTTGTTTCGAATTTGATAATTTTTTAAGCGTCTTCCTATTTCATCCCATAAATGTTCTATTGGATTCATGTCTGGTGATTGTGGAGGTGTGTTAAGTTGCTTTGGCACTCGGTATAACAACCAGTCTTTAACTTTTTTCGCGGTATGTTTTGGGTCGTTATCTTGTTGAAAAATAAACGAATTGCCAATATTTAGTTTTTCAGCACTTGCATGCAGATTATTTCTTAAAATGTTTAAATATAGGTATGTTGATCCATAACACTATCAATAAATACTAAATTACCAACACCAGTAGCACTCATACAGCCCCAAACTAATACATTACCACCCCCATGTTTTACTGTCGGACACAAATTTTTGCAATCCATCTGCTTATTAGGTTTTCTCCATACCATAACTCGCCCATCTGAACCAAAAATATTAAATTTGCTTTCATCACTAAATAATACAGATTTCCAAAAATCATTTCCCTCATTAATGCGTGACTTCGCAAAATCTAAACGCTTCTTTTTAATTATTTTACTGATAAAAGGTTTTTTTCTAGCTACGCAACCTTTATATCCCGCATTTCTAATAACATTACGAATAGTCTGTGGCACAACTTTTATATTATAGTCAGTATCAATCATACCAGCCAGTTTGGGTGCACTGGTTTTGGGCTCCATCACAACTTGTCTTAGAATGGCTCTCTTTTGATGCGATTTTAATTTTTGGGGACGACCAGTACGTTTTCGATCTTCAAATGAACCAGTTTCGTTGTACCGGTTTATAATATATTGTACAGTTGAGTGTGATTTCTTTATTATTTGTGCAATATTTCTAAGAGAATTACCATCTTCTCTTAGTTGAACTACTAATTTACGAATATCAATTAGTATTTCCATTGTTCGATGTTAATTGAATACGAGTACGACTGATGGCTACAGAAACCTATTATCACGCTCGCAATGCTGACCGGGTTTTATCGCCAGTTTATATTGTCTGTTTTGCCCATCTTAATATTATTTTTATCTGTTATTCATATCATGTACGGAGACATTTTGCTGTTGTTTTCTTAAAATTGTTGATATTTATATATGTTAATAATAAAATAATAAATATTTATACTTTATTTTTCTTAAAACCGAATGTTAATGTGTTTCTCAATTAATGTTCGCTAAAAATATAAAGTTATTCGACTTTTAAATTACCATTATATGTTAATGAAAAATACTTTTAACAGTGCACGGAGACTTTTTTTATCCACTGTAGATGCTAAAATTATTTGTGACACAGTTTTATTGCTACATGATAAAAATGTTGAGAACTTATAGCATATTAAAGCAAATAGAATATTTTATGAAATTAAAATATGGTTCGGCAATAAACTACTTGAAATAATTTAAAAAAAAAACCAAACACGTTATTTTTAATATACAACATATTAACATTGATTGTAATTTAAAATTCATTGATTATTTATTATTATGTTTAGCGACTTATGATCCTAATTGCTTATGTATAATTATTGAAAAAGTTGATTAAATTAAATATTTAATATTATAATATATTGATTCTAAATTAAAATGGAATTATCACATAAATTATTTAACTCAACAATTACGCAAATTCTTTTATGTTTTTCGAAACCTGAAAGGTATACCTATAAAAAAAACAATTGAAAATAATATAGGTACCTGGTGATTATTTTATCATACAACACTCATTATTTCAAAAAGTGTAAATTTTTTTTTAAAATAATTTTAAGTTGCGTATAAGTTATAAAACAATTGCTACAGTAAACATACATAGTCTACTTGATGTCTATGATAAATCTATACATCTATAACGTCTATGATCTCTTGTATATTAATTATAGACGTATATAGAATGTCTATATTCATATGCAATTTTTGCATCTTTGATTAGACCTATATTTGATAAATATTTATAGATACACGTAGATGTGTCATAGATATACCTAATTGGATCATTTTATGCGTTTATTTGAATATATATGTATACAAATAAATTTATTTTATACGACTTTTATTATTAGTTTGTGTCAAAAATTATACTTGCAAACCTATAGTATACTGTATATACTATATAGTTATAAATATAAATTATATAATATCCGAGTTTTTTATTTTACTAATTAATTTTAATTTTAATGTCAGGTATACCTATATTCAAACTGAACACTGCTAATGATATAAACATTAAACAATATAAAAGACTTGAAACTATAGTTTATATATAAATTATATAATATATTCATGCCTTTATATTAATTATAATATTAATATATAAAAAAAAGGTGAAATTAATATTATAATGTTTATAGTGATAGTTATAAGTTATCACTTTTCAGCTTATTATATAATATTTTAAATAATAAATGAGATACATTGTTTTTGTATGAAAAATAGGTAATTTTATTTATTTTAAATAAATTATTATAGTTTACCACGGTTCCATGATAACATAACACGATATTCATCCAGAGGCCGCCGTAGTGCGCGCGCTCCTGACGCCAAAATGACATTATCAACACGCTCGTATTATCATTTATCATACGTGTTCATAAAATAATATTGTAGCTCATTCTTTAATACTAATAACTAATAAGTAATAGAATAATAAATTGTAACATAATATTTTATTATAGATAGTTATTATTTTTAAAATAACCTAAATGACGCATACCAAACTTTCCAAACACCTTGCATATTATTTTTAGTGTGCATTTGTCGACTAGTGTTGTTGACTAGACGTGAATATTTTGTTTGTCAATTTTGAAATTCCAACAGTACGCTCAGTGGTAAGTAGTAGGTTTTATGAAATTATAAAACATTTACATGAACCTTATTTTTTTAATCTAAAATGCCGAAAAATCCATACAAACAAATAACTAATTTGAGTAAACCTCAATAGAACCGCAGATTACGTGTATTACAATAAGCCGCTGCAGCTAGTGATACTTGTAGCTATTAGTGTGGTTTCAAATTCTGTAGCTCCCGATCCTGATATTGAGATTAATCACGCCAAAAATTGAACAGATATGCAAATTATAACAATTATAAAGGTGAAAGAACAAATGATGAAGATAAAGGTCGCGGGAAGAAGCAGAAATTTAAAAATTTAAAATTATTCACTGATGAATCAAGTTCACAAGAATCTCATAGTTTTATTAAAAGTCTTACAAAACCTCTTTCATGGGCTAAACGCCTGAGTAATTAAAATATTTATTTGGTTAGTTAAATAGCTTTTAAAAACTACATTATTTGCTTATGTTGTACAGATGATTATGACAATATATTGGTGCAGCCATACCACTCCACAGAAAAACCAAAAAAAAACAAATCAAATTGGTAAGAATATTATTCTTAGTTAATATAGTTCTTATTTCATAAATTATATAGTTTTTTAAAAATGTCTATCTTTGCTAATGTTGTACAGATGATGGTGACAATGACATGTTTGAGCCAGCATACCACCTCACGGAAAATACCAAAAATACAAATCTTATTGGTAAAAATATTAGTCTTAGTTAATAAAATTCTTATTTGGTAAGTTACATGGGTGGGCTGATAAGTAATGCCTCTTGACGCGTAGTCTTAAAAGTTTTATACTTAGAATAATTAATGAAAAACACACATATAGTAAATTAAATTATTTTTATTTACGTACTATTATTTTTCAACATAACTACCTTCTAAGGCGATACATTTTTGCCAACGATTTACTAATTTAGAAATGCCGCTCAAATAAAATTCTTTGGGTTGAGCATTGAACCATCGTTTAACTTCAGCTTTAACTTTCTCGTCAGAATTGAATTTTGTACCCTTGAGAAGTTCTTTAAGCTTAGGAAACAGAAAAAATCAAAATTTGGGTTAAATTTGGTCTGACACGCTTGAACCTTTTTTTTCAGCCTTTTTAGTGTCTCTATGTATCGTATAGAATTTATTGTTGATCCTTTATCTAAGTATTCAGTGTGGATCACACCTTTGAATCCCAAAACACAGTTAACATGACTTTCCCAGCTGACGCTAGAACTTTAAACTTCTTTGGGGCCGGTGAAGTCTTATGACGAAATTCCATTGACTGTCTTTTGTTTTCAGGGTCATAATGATGTACCCAAGATTCATCCCTGGTAACAATAATATTTAAAAAAATGTTCTCTTTCACGGTTATAACGCAAAAGAAGTTTTTCCTACGTGATTTTGTTTATTTTCTTCCGTCAGAATTTTGGGTACCCACCTTGCGCATACTAGACCAAATCATCGACTTTTTATTTATGGGTCTCATCAGTAACCGTCACCGGCCGTCCACTTCGATCCTGATCTGCAATAATCGCTTTTCCGACTTCAGAACCGTTAACCCGTAATGCCCAACGACGAACAGAACTTACATCAAGAGTTTGATTACCATAAACCGCAAGCAGAAGTCTATGAATATCGACTGGCTTCACATTTTCTGCAACGAGAAATTCAATAACAACACACTGTTTGAACCGAACATATGAAAGGGCGGTCATTATAGATTCCATAAATAATAAAATATTAACATTACACTATCGCGTCTTCGCTCACACTAAACCAACGACATAAACTATTATATTGACAACAAATGACAATTTTATCGTACATCTAAAAATAACTATGAGATAAGAGGCATTACTTATCGGCCCGCCCTCATACATAGGTTTTTTAAAATGTCTATCTTTGCTAATGTTGTACAGATGATAGCGAGGATGATATGTTTGAGCTGGCATACCACTCAACGGAAAAAAGAAATAAAACAAATCATATTGGTAACAATTAGTTTTAGTTAATACAATTCTTATTTGGTAATTTACATAGTTTTTTTTTTAAATTTCTATATTCAGATTGTACAGATATAGTTGAGCTGAATATTTCAGCAAGAGAAATATCTCAAGATGAAAGATCCCCAGACAAAATGACTTCTAATGATACAGGTAAATTAATTTTTATGGTAAATCTGGGTATTGTAAAATAATATGTACCTACTAACTTAAAATCAATATTTTTAGTAAATGTATCAACTATTGCAAACCTCATGCAAAAACAGTGCAAAGCAACACTTTACACTAATTGTTTACTTAAACAATTATTACAACCCATTAATCCAACTGTCCAACCAGCTAGTTTAAGTATTAAGGAAAAATTTTGAAGCAGGTTCCACAATTTGCCACTTGATTTCTTAGAAGATGTTGTTGAAATGGAAAATAAGTTGAATGGTCTAGCATTTAATGGTAATTTTTTATTTATAATTATTAATTCAAACTTAATTTTTTCATTAATTGCTTTTATAATTTTAGAAAAATCGCTTAAGACAATGTGAGTGCCGGAATAGTATACAAGAAACTATCACTTCTATATCAAGAACGGTAATGAGTGATACATGCCTTTAATATTATAACTTTGATGGAAAGAACAATGCAAATAATCCATTTAAAGAATTAACTATTAATTCTATAATAATAGGTATAATCACTGAGTGATAACAATCTATACCTAATTCGATGGTGGAAAGGCTAAGTAATGTAAGCCACAAAAATGAAATTTTACAGGAGAAACTAAAATCTTAATAGTTTTGTCAAAAATTATCCAATGAAGTTAAAATTGAATTGGTTTATTGTTGATTACGTATTTTAATAAATAATTATACAATTAAAACATATAAATCATTTTTAAACTACTTACTGTGCTTCAAATTGAAGGAAGTTGAGGGTTACAGTATTTTACATGGATTGATGTTTTAAGTTATGTGCTTTAGGGGATACATTATTTGTACATCACACCGATTAAATTTAACTAAAAATGTCCAATGAATGCAACCCTCAATATAATATTATTAATATTTAATAAAAATATAAAATATATTAATGTTAATATTATTATTTATTAATAAAATCTAAGGCAGTAACGCCTTATATTTATGGGAGATCATAAGCAATTAAATACACATAGTTATATTTTAATTATTTTCCAACAGATTAATATAATTATGAAACAACAGTAATAAAATATAAGTATAACATTAAAATATAAAAGTTCCGTTTAGTTATTTAAAAAAACTTAATAAAATAAACAAACTGTAAATACAAGTATAACATTTAAATATAAAAAGTTCCTTTTATTATTTGAAATAACCTAATGAAATAAAGAAACAGTCAAATAAAATATAAGTATAACATTTAAAATATAAGTTTCTTTTTATTTATTTAAAAAATCTTAATGAAATAAACAAACAGTAATTAAATAAAATATAAGTATAACATTTAAAGTATAAAAGTTCCTTATTTATTTTGTTCACTCTGCTGCGGCGCATAGCCATATTGAGATGTGAATACTTAACTTGAACGACTAAAAAAGTAAAAAGTAAAACTTAGACTAACTAGTTTAAAGAAAAAGAATCATGATTTTTTTTTTTTTTTGTTTTCATAATTTTGACAAAGCAACTAAATTTACAAACAATGTAAACGATTCCATGATTGTGGAAAACGCTCCTAACATTCTGTCTATCAAAAAATTAATTGTTTTTGTAACTATGATTTCTCGGTTTAATAAGAAATTTAATATTTCATAGTACGTAATAATAGTATTATCATTTATCACTATTATCATCAAATGAGTATTATTGGTTGCAATGTATTGTAAAATAGTTAACTAAAACAATAATGGCTCAGCGAGGGTTACATCAATTAACTGGGTTTGTTTGCAATTGTTGTGGGATACGTTGTTGCTTACATCAATTGTCTGGATCTGTTTACAATTATTGAGGGATACGTTGTTGCTTACATCACTTAACTATTTGTTACTATTGTGGGTTACACTAATCTTGAATGAGTAAAACCTGAATTTTGCATTGGAAAAAATGATGAAAACGTGTATTTACATGTGTTTTATCATTATCAATTAAAACCTCGATTTTGATAAAATTGTGGGTTACATTACTTGGCCTTTCCACCATCGAATTATTATTATACTTATACAAAAATTATTTTTTTTTATATTATTCTTTTTCGTTTTGTTAACTATTAGATGTTGTTTTAAATTTCCACACCCATGCAACAGAGTATGATGTTAAAACAAAAATTAGAAATTGGTTAAGATTAGATTCGACAAGAATTTCAAATAAAATAATTCGCCAGACTCTTAAACAAAAGAATAAGACGTAAGCTGCTATTTAACCATAGCCATAATATTATTGTCATTATTTTTGCATTATTATTATTATTATTATTATTATTATTATTTTTTCTTATTTTTTAATGCTGATTTGATTGGTGACTACTGCTGTACTATATTTAGTAACATAATACATTTAATGACAAATATTTATATTATTTAAATTGCAATTTAACAATAGACAAAAAATTTTCATTATTTTTGAATCATTATTATTATTATAATAATAATATTATATTCTACTACACATTTCTGTATTCACTTATAATATGTACATTTATTTTCTGTACTTTTGGGTTTTGGCCCGTATTAATATAATAATAAATTATTATTTAATGCTGGTATGACTACTGCTGAACTATATATAGCAACAGAATAAATTTAATGACAAAATTTATATTAATTATGATTACAAATTATTTTAATGTATAGAAATGTATACTATTTGATAGGATGATCACCCATTAAAGCTGTAATACCAAATTAATTTTACTAGGTTCCTAATTTTGTGATTGATAATTAGATTATTTATATTCTAAGCTTTTTGCAAAGTATTTTTAATTGTTTGATAGAGATGATTGTTATTATTGTATTTATAAAATATATATTAACAAATTGGCTAAAATGTTTGTTATATTTAAATTATAAGTATTCTTTGAAGTAGTATGTTTACATATATTTTTAGATTTAAATGAATGTTTTAATTTATTATTTTTTGTTCTATGTAATATAACTAAAAACAATAATATATATAAAATGGAGTATTTTATACCAATTATGGTATGCCTACTTAAAATGTTAATTAATGTCTATAGATAGATGTTGTAAAAGAGAGTTGAATTTGATCTACTACATGATATATGATAGATATTTTAATTGGATCTTCAAATACACTAAAAAAGTGGCGCATATAGACTAATCATAGACATCTACATTTACATCACATGTATGTTTTATGATGGATTGGTATATTAGACGTCTAATATACATTACAGTGTTTGCTGTAAACGTGTTTATTAACAAAAATATTTTTTTATTATTTTTTTTTACTTTTTTACTTTTTTCGATGACAATACAGGGTTTTAATTTTATATTCCAAAGCAGGATATTTTTCTAAGTATTTCAATACATGAAAATCGAATTTGGGGTGAGTATTTTATGAGTTATTATTATTCAAAGTTTTGATGAGCAAAGAAGCGAACAAATATTTTGTGAAGTAACCCCTTGCCTTATATGAGCGGAGTGCTCATCTAAACTTTAAATACTTATAAGTTATAAACTTTTACACTTTTTGAAATAATGAGTGTTGTTTGATACAAGAATCACCCGGTATATGTCACTCCTACAATCTATTATCTCGTATGGTATAGAAATTTGGGGATGCACCATGCATATATGATATCCATCTAAACAATCTAAAAATAACACTTAACAAATTAATTATAATTTATATTTAAATTATCTAATAGTACAAACACAAATTTTCTTCATAATGAACTTGAATTATTTTGTATTGATAGATTATTTAAAAAATGTTTGTTATTATCATTGTATAAGCACAAAAATATTATTTTAGTAAAAAGCAAGTAATCATAGTTTTAATACTATTTTTAAGAAAAATTTGAATTTCTATAAATGCCAAAATTCTTTTGGTCTTAGAAGTTTGTTTAATACAGTTATTAGGTTATGTATTTATTTAAAAATTAATTTTAACCTTGTTAGAAATTATCATAATTATAAACATAGTATTTATTTTTATTTTTATTTATTTATTTTTAATTTATATATTTCAATGCCTAATGGCAATTAGCAGAGACAAATACATAAATATAGGTAAGTATTAGATAACAAATTAGTATATATAACAAATATTATAAGTATAATATAGCTAAAGTACTGATGGAACATAAAAATTAAAATATAATTAATATACATATTATTATAATTAAGTAAAAACCAAACTTTGTGTGGTCTGTGTCTAAGATTTATTCTACTCTTCACTTTTGGCTAAAATTCCAAAAGTCTTGGGTCTGAGTTAATTTTAATCATAGTTCTTTGGATAGGGTAATTGCATAGATAATTTGTTCTACGAGTGCTGATTTCAAACATTTGTTTACTTTGGTATACATTTCTAGGTATCTTAAGTTAATCTCATTTACATGTAGTTTAAACATGTGTACTTATTGTATTACTTATTTATTTATTTTTTCTGTTCTAAAAGTTTGATATATACAATTCTTAGTTTACTATCTTTCAAACAAATAGGTACAATATTTATTGATATAGATACAAATGTATTGATACAAATGTACAACATAGCAAAAAAAGACAACTTTTCTTGCATCATATTTACTGTAGAACTACCAAATTTTCACAACACGTAAAGAAAAACTTTATTTGTGAATTTTTTAATAACAGTATCCAATCATTTTTTTTGCTTAATCAAATGAAAAAAACAATGTTTAGAAGCAAATAACTTTTATTGCAGGTATTTATGTTATCTTAAGTATAGGCACGCTGTTGCATAGATAATTTTCTACCCTATATGTTCAGAAATTTTGTTACCACTACTACAAACACAGAAAGATAAAAGTTATTCCGCGCAAAACAGTTTTTTCTATGTTGTACATTTGTAAGACGGAGACAACACATGCAGGTGTGACGTCCTCTTAATATATAGCCTACTATAATCTTATTTAAGTTTTCATATATGTTGCACACGGACAAAATTGACGATGAATAGAATCATTTATGTGGATTTTCCTTCATTGAAACCTGTGATTCATAATTTGTATTGGTTTATGCAGAAAAAAAAAATACCAGATCATGAATAATTAGTTTTCAATGTTGCAATATATACACAACTTAAAACCATTTTTCTCAACCTCTTTGTGATATTAATTATATTATTTTCATGTAAATGTATTCAAATATATGTTATTAGTTATAGAATATATGTTACAAATGTTTTGCATATATGTTGTGTTTCTATACTCACTAGTCACTGTATAAATTACATTATTATCCTAAATAAATTAACAAAATATACTTTTGTATTTTTTTTAATTTTAAATTTTTTACATAGTAGCATTGGGTATATATTATATACAATATAAACTTAATGATAGTAACTATTAAATTATATTGACA